ACATCGTCACAACAAAATTCAAGCTTACGAGTCAAGAAAACACACCGGCAAATCCCTAAAAAGTGGTATACATACTCTACATCTGGCCTATGATGTACGAAAGCTCAGCACGGGTTCACCGGAATCGAAGGATATTGCCTCGGAAACAGCGTCAGCATGAATCTTCCAGTAAAGCCAATCGACTGCTGGTCGAGAGGAATTCGCCGTCGTCTTCTGGTGGAGCCGTCCTTCGAATCTCTTCACCAAAGACTTCTACTCGAAATGGAAGTAAGTCCAACAATTATGAAACAAGAGTTTCCTCGAAACCCAACTTTTCTTCGTACATGTTAGACTAGCCACGACTTTGCAGGCAAGTCGACGTTGTCCAGCCGCGCGTTTTACGTCGCGTAAATGACCATGTGAGCCGGTTGCCTTTCGAGACTGCGATGCTGCTCTTGCGCAACTCGACTATTCATTTCCAAATAAACACTTGCGAATATACTCTTTTAGCGATACCAATTTAGTCCGACTAGTTTGCTTAAAGCGGTTTCAACACGGGGTGTGTGTGCCAACCCACAAACGTTGCGGTTCAACGTTGAACCTGATCAAAGCCAACAGCACGACAACATTTGTGGGTTGGCACACAAGCGACTAGGGCATGGGAAATCATAGACTTGGCATTAGGGATGGAGACAGGATAGACGAAGCGGCGATTGGACGGTATGTTTCACAAGAGACATGGTGCATGTAGCAAAGGCATGACCAAGTGGGGGCAGGGGTCGAGTGAAATACATGTACCAGGGTGATAGCAGACGAATTCTACGAGGCAAGAGGGAGACTTTGATAGGACCCAGGGAAGGACTTCATAACAATATGACAGACTCTGGTCAACATTCCCAGCACAAGACTCAAGGGGGTGATAACGACAGTCTGGAGTGTGAAGGGTTTTCATGAATGCCACTCGAAGGAGGAAGGAATGATGGGAGGATATAGGAAATGTGAATAGCCCAGGGCAGAAGGGGAGATACCACAAATGTTTAGCACATGTTTGGTCAAAGGATGGGCTTCACTTGTCTCTTTGACGAGTTGTATTATGGTGCTACGAATGACAAGACTTACTGATGATGCCGGCGAAACGTCTGGGAATGTACCACGTCCACGGTCCTACTCTGAAAATGATGATGTATGCAATGAACTCCGGACAATGTGCGTTCCTCTAAGTCTTCATACCAAAATGACCAAGTTGCGAAAACAGGGTCAAACAACTTCTATACCACGAAAGAAGACTGCGACCACACAAAACGCCACACCATCTTGGTCTTCATACCTTGACTACTGATAATTTAGTTTTACCATGCAATCAAATGAGTCGAACATCTCATTTAGGCCTCATCCAAATCACATTTAGGCTTGATTGGTTGGTAATTAGGCAATTGTGTATTAGCCAGTTTACTAGTCAACGGGGATTATTAGGGGGACCTTCATTTCACGTTAACACTTAAGCACAAAAACTATCCGGCTCTATCTTATTTCTTATATAGACTCATTCGAGTCAATATATTAAAAATTACAAATCTAAATAGATCGAC